GGGGCCTTCGGTGGAACGCTCTATGGGGCCACGAAGCGTGTGAGGGGTGTGCCGACATGGGTGTGGGTGACGCAGGCGGGCGGTGGAAGTGGGGCCTTCGGTGGAGCTCCCCATGGGGCCACGAAACGTGTGAGAGGTGTGCCGAAATGGGTGTGAGTGACCCGTGCGGGCGGTGGCACTGTGGCCTTCGGTGGAGCTCCCTATGGGACCACGAAGCGTGTGAAGGGTGTGCCGGCATGGGTGTTTGTGGCGCATGCGGGCGGTGGCACTGTGTTCTTCTGTGGAGCTCCCTATGGGGCCGCGAAACGTGATAAGGGGTGTGCCGACATGGGTGTGGGTGACGCATGCGGGCGGTGGCATTGGGGCCTTCGGTGGAGCGCCCTATGGGGCCACGAAGCGTGTGAGAGGTGTGCCGACATGGGTGTGGGTGACGCATTCGGGCGGTGGCACTGGGGCCTTCGGTGGAGCGCCCTATGGGGCCACGAAGCGTGTGAGAGGTGTGCCGAAATGGGCGTGGGTGACGCATGCGGGCGGTGAGAGGGGGGGCGAGGAGGAGTGAGTGACGCGGGGCGCTGTCTTTTCAAAACGAGGACCCAACACCACAGGATGGTTGGGAAAAAGATGTACGCACAGATCCCGCGCCCAGAATGGCCTTTGCCAGGGACGACCGAGAGCGCTTCGAAGCGGCGGCGGCGCGCGCGGCAGCGCCTGGCCGCAGCAGCGCCAGCCCGGCCAGCGCCGCGGGGGAGAGCCGCCCAGGGGCGCGCCTCCGGCCACAGCCACGCCGGGGGGGCCTCGTCGGGGGCCCCAGGGCAGACGAGGTGGAGGGGTTCGAGGGGGCCAAGGCCAGGCTAACGGCTCTGTTGCTGAACGGTGATGTTGGGAACCAGATTGTAGGACATCGCGAGCTACACTTTCCTACATGTCCAATCTGCGAATGGATCGAGCGAGCACGGCACGGCGCATTGCAGGAAAGCGCGCGCCACGCGTTCCCACACTACCGAACCCCACATTCATCGCCGCTGCCTACATCGCCGTTGGCCCGTTTACGTAAGGGGGGAACAGGGCTCTGCCCCTGCGGCGGACCGCTCCGCTCATCGCGCGGCGCGCTTCGCACATACGTCGTGTAAGCTCCGTGGGAGGCTCTGATCGGGCCCCGCGGGCCAGCAGAGGATGGGGAGGAGGAGGAGGAGGAGGAGGAGGAGGAGGAGGAGGAGGAGGAGGAGGAGGGGGAGGAAGAGGGGAGGAGAGGGAGGGGGAGGGGGAGGGGGGGGGGGAGGAGAAGGAGGAGGAGCAGGAGGAGGAGGAGGAGGAGGAGGAGGAGGAGGAGGAGGAGGAGGAGAGAGAAGGAGAAGGAGGAGGAGGAGGAGGAGGAGGAGGAGGAGGAGATGGAGGAAGAGATGGAGGAGGAGTGGGCACGGGGCGGGCTGTTGCCCCCGCGGGGGCGGGGCCGAGATCTCCCGCCGCAGCGTAAAAAACAGGCCGCTCTGCCGGATGCCTGGGCCGGCGCCGCAGGCGCCGCCCAGGAGTCGTCGTCGTCGTCGTCATCGTCGTCGCCGTTGTCCTTGTCGTCGTCGTCGTCGTCGTCCTCATCGTCGTCCTCATCGTCGTCGTCCTCCTCCTCCTCCTCCTCCTCGTCGTCGTCGTCGTCTTCGTCGTCGTCGTCGTCGTCGCGCCCAGAGGCCCAAGAAGCCCCCGGGACCTCCCACACACAGCCCAAAAATAAGGCCCCGAGGTGGTCCAAGAGGGTCCTGAGATGGCCCAGGCCCTGCGCGCCGCGGCGCTGCTCCCGGGCAGGCTTTGTGAAGGGGGCGAGGAGGGGAGAACCTCCTCCTCCTCCCTCCCTCCTCCCTCTTCCCTCCTCCCCCTTCGCCTTTTTGTTTCTCCTCCTCCTCCTTCCTCTCCTCTTCCGCCCCCTCTCCCTCCTCCTCCTCCTCCTCCTCCTCCTCCTCCTCCTCCTCCTCCTCCTCCTCCCCCTCCTCCTCCTCCTCATCCTCCTCCTCCTCCCCTCCTCCTCCTCCTCCTCCTCCCTCCTCCTCCTCCTCCTCCTCCTCCTCCTCCTCCCCTCCTCCTCCTCCTCCTCCTCCTCCTCCTCCTCTTCCTCCTCCTCCTCCTCCTCCGTCCTCCCTCCTCCTCCTCCTCCTCCTCCTCCTCCTCCTCCTCCCCCTCCCCCTCCTCCTCAGATAGGCTCAGGTGAGGACCCACGCTCTTCAGGGTACAGGCAGGGGCCTGGCCCTGGCACCGGCGGAGGTACTGCGCCGCGGGCGCCCGCAGAGCGCACGTGGGCGACCAGAGGAACGGCACTCACGCAGGAACGGAAAAGCTCACGTCGTATAAGACCCAATGCTCACGCACGACAACTTAAGGCATCATTCCAGCGCTCCGATGCTAGATGTTATGGACTTCGCGCAGTTACGAAGCACGCCACAGATGTCTGCTCGCGTTCGCGCGTTGACGCGTGCTCTGGGTCGGAGGGGTTGGCGGTGGGCAAAACCTCCCTTTAGCAAACCTCCCCTTCGTGAAAACGGCCTGGGACCGACACCGACGGACCCGGACCCGCAAAAAAAACGGCCGCGACGCCCTCACGCGAACCGAAAACGGCCATTTCCTGAATCGACTTGTCAGGGTAGGAGGTCTATCCACCTCCGAATTTAGCGACCTTGCACGAAGGCGCTGACGCGCGACCTTACGCGGGCAGCCAGCTACCCGCAGGAGTGGACCTAGGCAAGGGTGGCCTTCGGTGCGCGGCTCTGGGGAGGCGCGGGAAGGCCGAAGCCGAGCGCGCCAGCCGCTGCTACCGCGCCCCTCTCGGCCATCTGGGGACCCCATCGGGCCAGCACGAAGGGTCACTCCGGCGAAGGGTCACTCTTACGCGTAGTCGTAGGTCGGGCCAGTCCCCCTACAGGGGCGTTTTGGACGAAAAATGACAAATACCCTCAAAAATACCCCAAAGATGCCCCAAAATAATCAAACAATAGTCCCCATACTATTTTCCGACTATTTTTGAATATTTTGAACATTCCCCCTGCATAGGGGCAGGCCCGACTTAAGCGTAGTCGAGCATGCCGCGCTAATGACAGCGACACCGACCCCGCCAGCAGCGGGCGCAAGGAGCAGCACGGCCCTGGAGCCGGCACGGCTCTGGCCCCAGCGCCCAGGGCGAGAGGAAAGCACGGATACGGGCAGGCAGACGGTCACGTGTGAGCCCAAGCCCTGCACGCCAAGCCACGAAACCACCGGCGGGGGTTCAGCATATTTTGGCCGACTCCGGAAACTCTGAACCCAGAAAAATGTCCGTCTCTTCGGGTAGACGAAGAAACAACTGCATAAAGATAACTTTTGGCGCTCCGCGCGGATTTTCTGGATCTGCGCTGGATCCCCCTCACCCAGCACGGATCCAAGAAACCCGCGCGGAGCACCACCAATTTATGTTTATGGCGTTTTGTCTTCTTCGATTTGCTTCCGCCGGCTTCCGCCACCCCTCCGCCAACTTCCGCTGGCGGAGTCGGCCTCGTTATTCTTCCGCCGCCTCCAGCAGGCCGTTCCGCCGCCTTCCGCCGCGAAAGAGACGCCATCTCCGAACGCGAGGCCCTCTCGAACGCGAGGCCCTGTCTGGCACGCTCCATAGGAAGGACGCCTGCAGCCAGGTGAACCTTATATGGCAACTCCGGGGAGCCTCCCGTTCCATCTTGCTGCCTTTTGCCAAACGACGCTGGACGACGCCAAGCGGCACTAACCGATACCAGTCGACCCTGGGTCGGCGCGAATCGACACGTCACATCTGCGCATTCCCGTCGATTGCCAGACGCTGGCGCACGCCATTGCATTCGAAGCACGGGATTGCGAAGACATGCGAGGCTCCCATGGAGGAGGAGGAGGAGGAGGAGGAGGAGGAGGAGGAGGAGGAGGAGGAGGAGGAGGAGGAGGAGGAATGAGGAGGAGGAGGGAGGGGAGGGGGGGGGAGGGAGGAGGGAGGAGGAGGAGGAGGAGGGGGGGGAGGAGGAGGTCGGTCTTGCAGAGGCAGGGTGCGCGAGTGGTCGCAGAATAGGCGGGCAGGCGCGGAGGAAGGAGGCAACCAGGGAGGGGGGCGATCAAAAGGGCGGTGTTCGCGCAGGCCCCTCGGACTCGAGACCCGCAGGCTGTGCAGCCCACGAACAGGCCCACCATGACAGAAGGAGGGCAGACGCCACAAGCATGAACTTGGGGCGCTGCGCGCGGAGATCTTGGATCTGCGCTGAACCCCCTCCCTGGCGCGCGGAGCGCGTCAGGGGCGGCACCTGAGGCGCCGCCTGCGGGGCCCAGCGCCGATGCATGAAATCCGCGCGGAGCGCCAAAAGTTAACGTCTGTACCGTTTGTTGTACTCCGACATGAAGCTACAGGCAGCAAGGGCCTCAGGCACCCGCTCGTCGGGCAGCCAGGCGCCCCGGCGAAAATCGCTCTCCAGGATGTCGTGGCCTCGGGCTCCAGGCTCGGCGGACGACGCGAGCCCTCCACCGAGTGCGGGCAAGACTTGTGTCCACATCCGCTGCAGCTTGGAGCTTCGGGCTCCCTTCCCTAGAACCCCGAGGCGCACTGGATATGGATAAGAATGTGGCCCCTACAGAGGCTAGATGTTGTCCATATCCAGAGCGCCTTGGCCTTGCGGTGCCCCGTCCCGAGAAAGTCCAAGATGCACTGGATATGGATATCGATATTGCCCGCGCACCTCCTCCTCCTCCTCGGGAGCGGCCAGGAGGGGGGTGTCCAAGAGGGGGGGGAATGCAAATCATGACCGGCGGCATGTGCGCGGCCAGGGGGGGGGGGGGGCCAGGGACGTACTGAAATGAGAAGAGGCGCCATGAAATCTGGGGAAATATCATGGCCCCCGCCGTGATATCCACCCCCCCAAGTCATCCCCCTCCCCCCTTTTCCGCCCCCGACCTCCTCCTCCTCCTCCTGGGGTCCTGGCCGAGGAGCGTGACCCCCTGCGCCGAGCACGCCGCCACGGGACCATGCAAGCTCACACTCGCCCATCGAGGACCGACCTTTTGATCACCTGGGTGTTCAGAGAGAGGAACAGTCCCAAATACGTCGCCAGCACTGCCAGCATGCCGGACTTGCCCACGCTGAACGCGAGTGGGTTGCCGTATGTCTTCAAGAGCTCCTCCCCAGTGGCGAAGCAGTGCCTCTCCGCGAGAGGTAGCGAATCGTCACAATCGACGAAGGTCAACCCCTCGTAGTGGTTGGTCTCAAGAACCGACATGCCCCACTGAACTGGGGAGAGGTAATACAAGGGCTTCCATATCAATGGTATCTGGCTGTAGGGGATCACGTAACCAGAGAATAGGATCATCATAATCATAAGGGGCGCCAATATCGCCCGGGCACCATCCGTGTCTTTGGTCGTCGCCCCCACGGCCGACCCCAACGCGGTGCCCATGACAATGACCAGCCAACCAATCAGCATGAATATCGAGAACTGCGAAATCTCTGCTGGTAGACCTGAGAGCACGTACAAAGGCATCACCCAAGCGATCGCCCACGGGATCTGCATAGCCATGAAGCCGATGTAGTAGGACGCGTAATAGGGCGCAACCTTATAAAGCCCGTCGTAGTACTCTCGCTTCAATAAACCTTTCGTCTGCTGGAAGGTGGCTGCACCTGCGTAGAAGCTGTCGACGAAGGAGTTCTGGATTATCAGAAACATGACACCCTTGAGAGGGAACACCTGGGGGAACCAATCAACAAATACCGATGCCGCTGCTCCCTGGGCGCGTTCTGATGAGGATTCCGAGGCGAAACCAGACATTGCGACGAGGGCCCCCCAGGAGGCCCCCCAAGAGGCGAAAACGAGAGAGGGGCTGTGAGCATGGGTTTGGTGTTCTTCTTCTCCGAGCACCATGCCCTGCGTGGGCTCCGCAGCCACGCGCCAGAAGAAGCAGCCACACATCAAGGACGCGGGCAGCCGCGCCATGATGCCCCTGATACAAGAACACACAACGGCATAATAATAGCCGGCGGTCGGACGAAGTAGGTAAACACATAAGGTAGGAAAGCGGGCAAAAATAGATTGTGTCCAGGCCCTCCCAGAGAAGGACAAAACACAGCAACGCAGATCAATATTTGAAGTAGGAAGGAGCTTGATATAGATTGGAAGCTGGGAGTCCAAGAAAACCTACTTTCAACGACCGGCGTGTACATTTTCCGAGGTCCGAGCTGATTTCCTTCTTCGGCGCTGGATCACCCTCCCTGGCGCGCGGAGCGCGCCAGGGGCGGCGCCCGAGGCGCCGGCAGGAGGGGCCAAACGCCGTTAAAAGAAATCCGCGCGGACCTCCGAAAACTATATTTAGGTCGGGCATGTCCTCCTACAGGCGGCTTTTGAATAACAAATAAAAATAGCCTCCAAACAAATTCACATAAAAATGCTCAATCAACCTGGCAGAGGACCCAACCATATGCAGTTGTGAACACCGTCGTTGTATGCACAGCATTCGACGGAGCTCCCTATAGGGCCACGAAACGTGTAAGGGGTGTGCCAAACCTTGTCCCGTGGGCATCTGCGAAAGCAGCCACTGCGGCCTTCGATGGGTTTCTCCTATGGGGCCACGAAACGCGTGAGAGGTGTGCCGAAATATGTGCGTTGGGCGCCTGCGAACGTAACTCCTGGGGCCGTCGGTGGAGCTCCCTGCCGCGAAAGGTGTCACGGGTGCGCCGAAATGGGTGCGGTGGGCGCATGCGAACGCAGCCACTGGTGCCTTCGGTGGAGCTCCATATGGGGCCTTCGGTGAGCTCCCTATGGGGCCACGAAACGTGTGTGAAGAGTGTGCCGAAATGGGTGTGCGTGACGCATGCGGGCGGTGGCACTGGGGCCGTCGGTGGGTGGAGTTCCTTGTGGGGCCACGAAACGTGTGATGGGTGTGCCGAAATGGGAGTACGCGACGCATGCTGGCGGTGGCACTGGGGCCTACGGTGGAGCTCCCGATGGGGCCACGAAACGTGTGAGGGGTGTGCCGAAGGGTTGTGCGTGACACGTGCGGGCGGTGGCACTGGCGCCTTCGGGGGAGCTCCCTATGAGGCCACGAAGCGTTTAAGGGGTGTGCCGACATGGGTGTGGGTGACGCATGCGGGCGGTGGCACTGGCGCCTTCGGTGGAGCTCCCGGTGGGGCCACGGAACGTGTGAGGGGTGTGCCGACATGGGTGTGGGTATCGCATGCGGGCGGTGTCATTGGGGCCTTCGCTGGAGCTCCCTGTGGGGCCACGAAACGTGTGAGGGGTGTGCCGTCATGGGCGTGGGTGATGCATGCGGGCGGTGGCACTGGGGCCTTCGGTGGAGCTCCTTGTGGGGCCACGGAACTTGTGAGGGGTGTGGGCGGTGGCACTGGGGCCTTTGGTGGAGCTCCATATGGGGCCACGAAGCGTGTGAGGGGTGTGCCGAAATCGGTGTGCGTCACGCATGCGGGCGGTGGCACTGGGGCATTCGGTGGAGCTCCTTGTGGGTTGAGTATGCGTGACGCATGCG